TATATTTATTTAATTTTTTTGTCCGCAAATGTCGGTGCTAGCAAATGTCGTTCTCCCGGAACTCCCAGAGGTGGGTCGGAATTCCGATTTCCGGCATTTTTTCCTTCCGATTTCCGAAAAAAAATTTTGATTTCCGAGTTCCGACTTTTGAGCCATTTCCGATTTCCGCCAGTTCCGATTTCCGACACCTCTGACTGTTCCGACCTGGGAACTCCTATATTTATTTATTTTTTTTGTCGCAAATGTCTGTGTTCTCAAATGTCGTTCTTTCAGATCCCTAAATTAAAAATTATTTTTATCTTCAAATGTCAATGTTCGCAAATGTCGTTCTGTCAGACCCCTATATTAAATTTTTTTTAATTTTTAAGAAAATTTCCCTGAATATAAGTTTAGCCGACTGTCTGTTCATTTCCATCGATCGAGTAAAAAAAAAGGTGTAGTAAGTATCCCGCTGGGCCAAAAATTAGATGTTTTGTCGGCGTACACGAAAATTGACTTTTTTGCTGTTCAAAAAATGGGGGGAATTTTTAATTAATTCTTTAAACGATTTAATTTTCTCTAAGAAATAAAGGTATTTATTTTTGATTATAGTCAAGTAGAGTAATAAAAAGTTGGGGGAATAGCGGCGGGTTTGTCTTTTAAGTTTTTAATAAAGAAATTATTTTTGGGAGGGGAGTGCCATTGAGAAAGATGAAGAAACTATTTTTGCGCGAAGCTACACTTTAAAAATAAAATTGGTAGTTTAAATTAATTGTGTGGGAAAATGTTTGAGAATCTTTAATTTTAATATAACCTCTATAAGATAACTCTAATATTGAATACACCTTTATTTAAGAGACGCTCTTTAAAGAGTTGGTTAGGCACTAGTTGGAGGGAGCTGCCCAAGCGATTCCTCTATTCAAGAGACACCTCTATTTAAGAGACACCTCTATTTAGGAGACCCCTCAGTATAAGATATAAGGTACACCTCCCTATAAGATACTCCCAATATTAGATACCCCAAATAGTAGGATACCCCTTAATTTTTTGGAGCGACATTTGTGAACATCGACATTTGCCCAATAAGTTTTCTTTTACTAAATACTGCACCTTTTTTAAGATACGCTCTCTAAAGTGTCTAAACAATACCCTCTATTTAAAAGACACCATTATAAAATACAATTTTTCATCACCCCTCTTTAACTATTATTAAATTAGTATTTATAGTCTTTTTTAATTTACAACCACTGATCCGTAGAATGGCGCGTTATACAACAGCAAACTTCCCCAAAAAATTAATTATTATATATTGTATTAGAAAAATAATGGGAGGGGAGGGAAGAGGAAATTGTCTCTCCAATTTAAAAAAAATAATTAATTTATAAAAAAAATATTTTTTAAAGCTGTTTTTGTCAGCCACGCGCTGATGGTTATATAGCCGGAAATGTGCCGGAACGAGTGATGACACTGTGAGGGGAAAATTAATCGGAGAGCCTAAATTGAGCATGAGATGAATTAAATATTTTTATTATTAGAAAAAAAAACAAAATGCAGGTAAAAAATAACTAAAAATATTTTGGCATTTTTTGTCTTATTTTTGTCGCGACATTTGCGTACTTCGACATTTACGAACATACGCTATAAAATACTGTAATAAATACTGTACTGCTAAAATAGTGTATAATATGTATTGGCTATAGTAATTGACAAGATCCCTTTGGAACAAAATCCAATGTCCTTCCTTCTATTGGAGTGACATTTGTGAACTTCGACATTTGCGAACATTCCCCAATTTTCTAGTACTGTAAAGTACTTTCTAGTACTTTCTAGTACTAGTGTGCCACCAAAATAGTATAATATGCATAGACCATATTAACTGACAGGATTGAATGTTCCTTCGTCACAATTTAATTAATGTCCGCAAATGTCGGTTCGCAAATGTCGCTGTGCCCAAATAAAATAATTTGTGGTTATTGTCCTCCCCCTACCGAATTTTTTGGTTAAATAACAAACCAAACAAATATTTTAATAAGAGAAAAGGGCACATTTTGAAGAAAAGTTTAGAGAGTTTTTAGTGTGTCTTTCATTCACACTCACCAAAAATTGGCCGAGAATTTGGGGGGAAATTTTGAAAAAGGAAAAGGAAGCCAAAAATCACCATAATAATAGAAATGAAAATTTTTATTTTTTACAGTAGCATGGTTGACAGAGCTTATAAATTCAAAAAAAAAATTTTATTTATTAGATGAGCAATTTATTTATTTAATAAAAGGGCGGCTCATAACCACCCAAAAAATATTTTCTTTATTTTTCCTTTTTATTATTAATAAAATTTTTATTTTTTAAAATGTCAATTTTAAATGCTATGAAGGTGAAAAAATTTTCTTTTTTATTTTATTTAATTTCAATTGAAAAGAAACCTTTAATTTTTTTTAATTGTAAAGAAGCCCTAATTTAAAAGGATTTTTTGCCTATTTAATTTGATCGACATTTGAGCACACCGACATTTGCGAACAAAACTAAAGTCTATTGAACTTTGATCAAACGGCTTTTGGTACAGTACCAAGTCTTGTGGATTCGGTATTATTTTGGTGCTACAGTATTTATTACAGTACTTTATATAAGCTATAAACCGGATAATGTTCGCAAATGTCGTTCTACATTAACTTTGTTAAGGAATAAATAATTAAAAAAGATTAATAAACTTTTTTAAACTAAAAATATTTGGGTTAGAAAAAAAATGCCGCAAAAAAGGAAAATATTAAATTTATTTTTATATTTAATCCAAAAAATCGCCGTAATAGTTTTTTGGCACATAAAACGGTAAAAATAATTATTTTCTTTTTTGTGGGTTTTGCAAGGATTTGTGTTGTTTTTATTACTTATATTAGTCTTATATTTTTGGCGTTTTAACGGTTTGTTCCGATTTCAGTAATTTTGGTTGTGTACCTAAATGTCCGTGAAGGCAAATGTCGGTACGCAAATGTCGTTCAAAACAAACTTTAACAGCCTTTTGATTTGTTCGCATCTGTCGATGTGCGCAATTGTCGTTTAAATTAAATAACAAATTTATCCTATTTTGTTTGTATTTCTTTCTCTGTCTATTACAGTATTTCTCTTTATTAAATATATTTTCTCTCTTTATTTACTCACATATTAAAAAAGTTTTTAATTAAATAATTAAAACAAATTAAAGAATGGGCGGGGTATTCCAGAGAGTCTCCCCCCTCTTCCTTAAATTATTTTTTAAAAACGGCCGGGAATTGGTTAACCTTTATTTCTTTTTCAATTGGTTTCTAATTGAATAGAGAAGAAAATAAATAAAAATAGAAGGGAGGCCACGCCCCTTTTTTTCTTTCCATTAATTTTAAGTTTGTCTTTTCTTCTTTTCATAATATTTTTAACACAATTAGATAGCTTTAAATTAAAATTAAATTAAAATTAAATTGAATACCTCATTATAAGAGACATCCAATATTAGACACACCTCTATTTAAGAGACGTTCTTTAAGTGTTTTATTCGTTGAGTGCAATACCCTTCTATTTAAGATATACCTCATTAAAAGAGACCCCCCATTACTGGCTACACCTCATTATAAGGTCCCCCAATATTAGAGAAACCTCTATTTAAGAGACGCTCTTTAAAAGTTAGTTGGTTATTTAGTGGGGGAATTTTCTCAAGCAATACCCTTCTATTTAAGATACACCTCACTATAAGAGACCTCCATTATTAGCTACATCTAATTATAAGAGACCCCCCATTATTAGCTACACATTCATTATAAGAGACCCCGATATTAGCTAAGCTTCTATTTAAGTTACTCTCGTTATAAATTTAGTCAGTCAAAAGTGGGCGGGGCTTCCTAAGTGATACCCTCTAAAAATTTCAAATTGGGACAAAATGTCCTTTTTTAACAAATAATTATCATATATTTTTAATTATATATTTATTTAAAACACACAAAATTACCTCATTTGCCAACAACTTTTTTCTCGTTTTTTATTTAATTTTAACCTTGTTTTTATTATATTTTCTCGTAATATTCTTTAAATAAATAAATTCAATTTACGATTTTTGACGAAGCAACCCGCTAATACAATTTTTATTGCTTTATAACTAAATAAATATATTAAAAAATATATTTATTTTATTAAATATTTATTTGGATTTTAATAATAAAAAATTAAAAAAATTTTTTTTAATTGAATAAAAAATATTCTTTAATACCCCCTTCTCCCTCCCTAACTCTTCTCTCTTGTCCTGTCCAAAATAATTTTTGACTTTTTAACCAATAGTCTTCCTTTTGATTTTTTTATGTTTTTAATGATTTTTTATGTCCTTTTGAACCATAATTTTTTTCTTGATTCTTACCTTTAAAATAATTATCATTAGAGACTAGACTGGAAGGTTTCGTACGTGAATCAAGATTTCGAAAAAATCTCGATTCTTGATAACCGAAATTTTTGACTGAGATCTCATCTCTGTTCGATCTCTATATCATTCGAGAGCTCTGAATATGAGGATTATTTTATTTGTTAGAATTAATTTGAGGAGATTCTTCAAGAAATTGCAGCTAAATAAATATCAAAAATCACGATTGCGCGGATTTGATTGGCTGTAACTCTTTGTAGGATGTTCCAATTGGATCTATCCTGCTTGCTAAAATAATCCTTACATTCTTAGCTTTCAATTGATATAAAATTTATTTAAATCGGTTAAGAATTTAAAAAGTTATGGCCCAAAATATGGCCTCGAGAGTGAATCAACGATTATGAGATGGCTTTTGGCGAAATGTCATTTTAGTGGGCACAACGCCAAACAAATTTTAATTAAATTTTAATTTTATCTTTTTCTCATACTTTTGGCTTTTAAAAAATTTTTAATATTTTTTTGTTTTTCAAAAATTTTATTTTTCAGATTTTTAATTTCCACCCTTCATTTTCTTCAAAATTTAAATTAAATGTAATTAATTAAAGACTACCCAAAAATTAATAATTTAATAAAAACAATATTTAAAAGAATGTGTTCTCTAAGTTCCTGCCCTTCCCCTGTTTGGTCTAACAATGAAGGAATTAATTTGGGGGGAAATAATAATGGAGAAAAGTGGCCTGGAACTTCAACAACTACAAAACCTAAACATTCAATTAATGAAATTTTGTCAGAAAAAAATGAAGAGGAAGAGCAGGGTGTTAAAAAGGAGGAAGGGGTGGAGGAACAAAAGAGGTAAAAAAGAGACAAACCTCGTTATAAGCACACCTCTATTTAAGGGACGCTTTTAAAATTTGGACACTGGGCGGGGAGAGCTGCCTAGAGGATACCCTCCATTTAAAAGACGCCTCATTATAAGAGACTTCTCATTATAAATACCCTCTTTGTTAGATACACCTCGTTATAAGCTACCAATTTTTAGCCCCAATGCGTGTCTTTGAGGTTAAGTCTTTATAAGTTTCCATTTCGACATTTTCCACTTTGACATTTTCAAAATTCAACTTAAAAATGATTTTAAAAATTTTTTTAGTTTTGAACAAAATTTGGAAGAAAATAACAACAATTTAATAAAATCAGAAGCAATAAAAGAAGAAAGAAGAGAAGAAGAAGAACACCCCCACCAACAACAACAACCACAAATCCCCCTAATTCCCCCAACAATTTCAATTCAAAATTTACTCCAAAATTTTGTCCAAAATTTATTTTCCCAAAAATCTACTCAACAATTAATCCCTCCTTCCTCAAATAATTATTTCCCTCCATTTTCTCAATTACAAGAATTACAAAATAATCAAATAAATAATTGGCCATCTTCTCTTTTATTACAACAACAATTAATTGATAATAATTTAAATAATACAGGTGGGGAGTGGTTTTAAAAAATTTTTTTGACACCTCTTTATAAGAGACGATTTTTAAGTCTTGAGGGGGTGTAGTATAAGGAGGTCTAGGTTTTAAGTTTTGAGGCTTTACCGGGGGTGTTTTATAAGGAGGTCTAGGGATTGTAAGCTTTGAGGTTTATTGTTTTGGGAATTTACCGCTTTGAAAATTTACCATTTTGAAGATTCACCATTTTGAAAGTTTTCCATTTTGACTTCTTCCACTTCAAAAATTTTACCATTTGAAGTTTTACCATTTTGAAATTTTTACCATTTTGAAAGTTTACCGTTTTTTAAATTTTACCATTTCGAAATTACCAAAATTTCAAATTGTAAAAAAATCAATTCGGAAAAATTTCAATTTGGAAAAAATCAAAAATGAAAATTTTCAAGTAGGGGGAACCCATTGAATTTTTTATTTGGCCTACTGTATATATAATATTTGTTAAAAAAGTGTGTGTAAAACTTGTATTATTATTAAAAAGAGAAATGATTCATTTAATATTTTTATTACAAAATAAATCATTCCGAATTATTAAAAAAATTTTTTTTTGATTTTTTGAAGAGATTTAATTTTTAAAAATTAATTTTTTAAAGTTCAATCTCCCCCCTCAACAACAAATTTATTATCATTCCCTCCCCCTCCCTCAGCTTCTTCCCAAACAACAACAACTTTTTTCCTTCCTTTTCCCCAACAAATAAAAATGGAAACAACACAACAACAAATAAATAATCAGAATTCTTCCCCTTCCCCTCCAACAATTAATTGTTTTAATCAGTCAAATTCTCCTTGTAATTTAAATGGAGGAGGAGGGGGAATTATTGGGAAAAAACAGTCTAGACCGACTTTTAGTGGACAACAAGTAAATTTAAATTTTTTTTGAAAAATTTCTAGAAAATCCCAAAAAAATTTTGGAATTTTTTAGAAAAATTTTTTAGAAATTTTACTCGAGAAAAAAATTTTTCCTTTTGTAGATTTACATGCTGGAAAAAAAATTTGAAAATTCAAAATATTTGGCTGGGACAGAAAGGGCACAATTGGCTAAAGAATTGTCAATGACTGAAAGTCAGGTTAAGGTGGGCAAAAAATTTTTTTTGGAAAATAACAAAAAAATATTTTTTTAATTCTCGGCCAACTATAAAATTTTCTAAAATCCTCCCCTTCAACTACAGTATTTTCTTTATTTTTCCCTTGTCTCTCTTCTCTTTTCTTTGTCCCTTTCATATTTCACCAATTCCACATTTTGCCAACAAGTGTTAAAACTTACTATTTGCCACAAAGTTTGTTGGCAAAACGTGTATTTTTAGCCTTATTGGCGAAATGTGGTATTGGTGAAATATGATACTCACTCTTTTTTCCTTTTCTCTTGTCTAAAACGGCTCCTATACAACTCATCTAATCGTTAACTCATCTATTCGTTAACTCATCTACTCGGCCAAAAAGGGTTAACTCATCTAATCGTTAACTCATCTAATCCTTAACTCATCTACACGGCCAAAAAGGGTTAACTCATCTAATCGTTAACTCATCTAATCCTTAACTCATCTACACGGCCAAAAAGGGTCAACTCATCCAATCCTTCGGAACTAGACTATTGAGTACCGGCCGTTTGAGTCCATGGCCAGTAGAGTACCGCCGGTTGAGACTCAACTGGTCATGGACTCAACTGGCCATGGACTCAACTGGCCATGGACTCAACTGGTCATGGACTCAACTGGTCATGGACTCAACTGGCCATGGACTCAACTGGTCATGGACTCAACTGCCCATGAACTCAACTGGTCATGGACTCAACTTACCCATGGACTCAACTTACCACTCAAACGGCCAGAGACTCAAACGGCCAGAGACTCAAACGGCCAGAGACTCAGACGGCCGGAGACTCAGACGGCCAAAGACTCAGACGGCCAAAGACTCAAACGGCCGTTACTCAATAGTCTCGTTTCGGATTGGATGAGTTGACCCTTTTTGGCCGTGTAGATGAGTTAAGGATTAGATGAGTTAACGATTAGATGAGTTAACCCTTTTTGGCCGTGTAGATGAGTTAACGATTAGATGAGTTAACGATTAGATGAGTTGATCCCTTTTTGGCCGTGTAGATGAGTTAAGGAATTTTAGCCGTTTAGATGAGTTGAACGTTTTTGGCCGTGTAGATGAGTTAACGAGTAGATGAGTTAACCGGACACGGTCTAAAACAACTAAAAATACATTCATTATTTCATTGCCCGTTAAAAAAAAGAATTAATGGATAAAATAAAAAAATTAAAATAAGAAAGAAAAATGCGGCAGGGCATCTGCTATAAATAAATATAAATGTTGCCAAAATATAAAATGTTCGTTTTAAATCCTTAAAAAAAATTTTTTTTTGTTTTCTGGTTAGCGGGGGAATTTTTAATTGTTTTTTAAAAATAAATGTTTGGCGAGTTTACAACATTATAAAATAAAATTTAGAGAAGAAAAGGATATTTTTGTGGATTATTTGGTTTAAAATGAACAGAGATTAGCGGTACTTTTAAAATAAAAATTAAAAAAAGAGCTTATAATGAAGTGTTTATTAAATAGAGAGTATTCCCTATGCTCCTCCACACTATGTCATTGCAATTTTTACAAAGAGCGTCTCTTATATAGGGGTGTATCTAATATTGGGTGTATCTTATAATGAGGTTTTTGACTTACAATATACTTCAAATGCTAGATAAACCTCTATTTAAGAGACGCTCTTTAAAATTAAATTGGGGTTTGAGTGGGGAGTTGCCTATCGTGGTAACCTCTATTTAACAGACAACTCAATTTAAGATACATTTTTTAAATTCGGTTAACCAATGAATGAAATGGCTTCCGATACCTCCCATTTAAGATACCACTCATTATAAGGTATTATTTCCCATGGGATAGTGAGGTTAAACTTTAAGCTTGTTATTTATTCTCTTTACTCAATAAAATAATAATGCATTTATATTTACATTTAAAGAAAATACAAACACAATTTCATGTCCATTACCCCCTCGGGTAATTCTTCTTGTCCTCCTTCCCGTCCTTCTGCCCTTTTTTTAAATTTAATATCCAGATGTAGTTAGTTAATTTTTAATGCAAAACTCATCGTTTTCCGCTTTCATGGGAAGAGGAGAGGGGGATAATTTTTATGAATTTATTACATTATTTTTAAAAAAATAAGGGGGAAAGGAGATATTTAAATATACATAAGGGATGTTAGGGGTAAATAAAAATTAAAATTGAGAAAATAAATTTTTTTAAGAAAAGAAAAACTTGGGGACTAAGTTGATAGACTTTGGGGGGGTCTATTTTTAGTTAGAGACCGGACCGAGACGAGAGCTCGATGGAAAATCTCGTTTTTCGAGATCTCGATTCTCGTCCGACCCTCTCAGTCCGGTCTCTAATTTTTATTAATTAAAGCATTGTATAGTTAATTAAACAGCATGTTCTATATATCATTCTAAAGCTTAATTCAAGCCTCGTTTGACATGTTTCAGCATTTCCCAGAAAAATAATTTCAACGAGATATGCGTGGATAAAGAGGGGATATACTAATCCTGGGCTACTTGACCCCCTTTAAACGCCCATAACTTTTTGAATTTAATTTTTCTGCAAAAATATTTAAACATGTCTTACAGGGCTTGAATTAAGCTTTCGAATGGTGTATAGAACAATTAATCTTTTACCGTTAAAAGAATGTTGGAGGCGCTCAAATTTTTGTGTTTCCCCCTGAATTAATTAAAAAATTCTTCCTTATTTCCGCTCATTTTTGTGTTGCTAATTACTTTATCTCAATTTTTTTTATTTTTAATTTCCACAAATTCCCATCCTTCTACGCATAATAAATCATATAATATTCTCTCATTTTTCATCATTTCTTCACCCCTCTTTTGCGCACTTTCTCAGTTACTCTTCCCTTTAAAACACCGCTTAAAGGGGGAAGAGGGGGGGGGGAGGGGAAGAATTTATTTTCTCAGATTTGTCGGTATTTATTTACCTTCCTTTTTACCCGTTTTTGGATGTTTTTAATGTTGCCTGGTACAATAAAAAAATTTTTTTGAAAAAAAAGGTGCGCCCGGGACAACAATGAAAAAAATATATTTTTGAAGGAAAAGGAGGGGGGAGGAAAGGGGGCAATTGAAAATTAAATCGGAAATGTTGCGTTTTTTGTTAGTCAACAATGTGTGAATTTGGGGGTTTTAAAGAGGGGGAATATACAGTAAAAATTAATATTATGTAAAAAATTAGTCATGCAATTTAATAAATATGCCCCCAATCAAATATGCCAGATGTCCCCCCAATCAACAAACACATCTGCCTCATTTATTTTAATTTTAACTTTTTCAAGTTATAATTTTATTTTCAAAAAATATCATTATATGTAGTTCATTGAATATTTATTCTAAATTATTAAGATTAATTAAAACAAATATTAAAAAATTTAGGGTGCGACATTTGTGTATTTGACAATTGTGAACACGACTATTGCAAATACGACATTTGCGAACACGATATTCGTGAAACGACCTTTTCGAACAAAAACTATAATACCCAGCTCTTCTTCACACAGAGGGCATATTGTGCCTTTTCTGTTCACAATTGTCGTTACCACAAGTGTCGTGTTTGGTATTTGTCAATTTCGCATTTGTCATGCCTCCAAATATTTACATTATTAAATTAAATTATTTTGTACTAATCTTTTTAAAACAAATACATATTTTAAATATGTAAATAAGTATTTATTATATTTATTTGTCCAAATTCTTTTCTACAAACTTTACTAAATACCAATTTAATTCATTCTTTTGTAATTCAAATTAATTTTTGGTTTTGTCCTTTCTACTCTTTTCTTCTGTTTTCTCACCTTTTTTTACTCCTTTTTACCCTTCCTGGCTTCCGTCAAAACAATTTTTTACCAAAATTTTGGTTAAAATTAAAAAGAATAATTAAATTAATTTTTAAAAAATTAAAAAAATTTTTTAGGTATGGTTCCAGAACAGACGAACAAAATGGAGAAAACGGTTAATAAATAAATAATTTAATTAAGGTGGTGGGGCAAAACACCGTCCGACTATCACCGTAGGGGCATCTGATGCGTGAACGGGTTATGGTCGGACGGTGTTTTGTCCTGGCACGATTTAATATACTGTAACTGAAAAATACACATACCCATAAGATACTCCAAAAGTCTCACTATAAAATACCTTCTAATACTAGATACACCTCTATTTAAGAGACGCCCTGTTAAATTAGGTAAGTTACTGGATGGGGGAGGACTGTCTGATCTATACCCTTTATTAATGTACACCTCATTATAAGGGCATTATAAAGACAGTATCTCGGTATCAACCTCTCGGGGGTATAGGGTTCCACCGTTACTAAAAACATTAATTTATTTTAATTTTTCAAGTGAGTCAGCTGACCAGGCCTCCCGTAGAAGATCAGAAGCAGCCGAAGCTTTCGACCGAAGCATTTCACCTTCCTTCCTCCACAACGCTGGTGGTTCCAATTCCCCAGGTTCTCCTCTATCAGGAATTGCTGCAGGCACTTCAAGTCCTTGTTCTCCAGAAAATTATGTTTCTTCTGGTCAATTCTCCTCAACAACCCAATTTATTCAACCAAACAATTTTGCTGCTTTTTCCCTCTTTTCGGCACCTTTTTTTAGAAGTTTTCCAGCACAAACTGAAACACACAACAATTCTGCACTAGTAGAGGCTTTGTGTAATGGAGGAGGTGGTGGGCAAAATGGGGAGACTAATGAATCTGCAAATTAGGTGAATTACTCTTTAATCAGACCTCACTTGTTTTGATGGAAAATTGCCTCTTATAATGGGCGTTTATTAAATGGAGAGTATTGCTTAGATAGCCTCTATCAGATGATAATTGTCTACCGGATAATTGCGAACGGGACAATTGCGATTGGGACAAATGCGGACACGACACTAGGGAATACGACAATTGCGTACATGGACGATTGCATACAGACATTTGCGACATTAGCATAAGAAAACGTCTCCACGTCTCTTTTATCTAATATTTGGGGTTTCTTATAGTGAGGTCTGATTATATTTTCCATTTCTTCCTTTTTATCTTCCCAATATTCTTTTAGTCAAAAAATATTTTTTCCTCTTTATTTTCCCTTCTAAATGCAATTTTTTAAATTATTTTCTAATTATTTTTCAAAAAATACAAAAGCAATCATTTCTTTAAAAATACAAAAATATTTTTCTTTTTTATCAGCATTTTCACAATTTTTCCTTGCCAACAAAAAAATACAAAATAATAATAAATTTTTTTCGAATATTTTTTTTCATTCCTGTGAATTGTTTTGCTTTGATTAAACAATGATTAAAACACAATACACAAAAATAAATTTTTGTTTGTTTTTTTTTGTAAAATTTTATTTGGACAATTGTGTAACAGACAATTGCAAATACGACAATTGCGTAAGAGACAGTTATGGGAAAGACAAATGCGTATGTGACAAATGCGGATACGACATATGTGTACAGGACAACTGCGAACATGACAACTGAGAACGACATTTGCGATTGCGACAAAAGCGTACAGGACAGTTGAGACGTAAACTTGTCCCGTAGGCATTAAATAAAAAATATGTAAAGACAATTGCGAAAACGACAAAAATGTACAGAATAATTGCGAATACTTGCTTAACAAAAATAAAATAATTTATGCAAAATTGAAAAATCATAACAAATATTAGTTAAATTAATTAAAATTAGGTTTTGGCGTTATTATTAGGGCAAATTAAATAATTACATAAATAAAATTAAATTATTTCACGAATTTTGAGTTGATTTTGTTCCAAAAAATTGTTCAAAATTTGAAAAGAAGTAAATTCTTTGGCTGCCAAATTAATTTTTCCTTCTTGAATTTGTGAACGAATAATTGAGTGAGGGAGGAAATTTAAATTGTTTTCTGTTCCTTTTTTGTCAAAACAAAACAAAATGTTTTCTAAAGCCAATAATTGATCTATTAGTGAACGCTCGGTTAAATAAGAAAATAATTCTGGGCAATGAAAGTGCTTCTTAAAAAAGTTTAAAATTAAAAATTAATTTAGAAAACCTCTCGTTATAAGATAGCCTCAACAAAGAAAATTGTCTCCTATAATGAGGTGTCTCTTAAATAGAAGTCACTAGAGGGCATCGCTTTTTCAGCTATCTGGCTCCACCCAAAGGCCAACAAATTCTAAAGGGCGTTTCTTAAATAGAGCTGTCTCCTATAATGAGCGTCTCTTATAATGGGGCGTCTCCTACAGAGGCTATCACTTAAACAGACTCCCCCAACTAGTAACCACCCAAAATAAATCCACTATAGCCCGGAATTTTTCTTCCAAATAGAGGTGTATCTAATATCGGAGGTATTTTATAACGAGGTTAAAAATACCTTATTATTCAAATGTTCAATTAATTGTTCAAAAATACCAAAACCAAAATATTTCCAACAAGATTGTGCCAACAAAATCATTGTTAAAAATAAAAAACTTGTAGTTTCATTCATTTCAGCAGATAAAGAACGTTGACATTTTGTAAAAGATAACCAACAAATATGAAATAAAAGTAACTTGAAAATTAAAAAATTGTATAAATTTTAAAAGAAAAAACAAAAAAATCCAACAAAGGATTCGAACCTCAATGAAAATAAAGTGTAGTCAGCAACGATACCACTACACCACAACAGTTTTTAATTTCCTTCTCTACTAAAAACCCGGAATTTTGTAGGGAATATTGAATAATATCGATACTGATAAAATTCAAAATTTTACCATAACGTATTCCCTACCGTTCTACCGACAGTAGTATCGATAAATACCAAAAAATACCGTCGGTAGTTCTTCGGGAGTACCGCGTGAATACTTGGACGCCGAAAACATCCCCAAATAGTCAGTCCTCCTAGAAACAAGTGAAACATCTGGAGGTCTACTAAAATAGTCGGGAGGTCCAGTGAACATTCTTCATCTATCACTTTGGCAGGGTATCTCTTAAAGAAGAAATAGGCACAAATTTAAAAGGATATTTGGAGTTAGATAGCCAAGGGGAGTCGATTTCAAGAGGAGGGCTAAATGGGGGGGGGGTTTCCCAAAATTTTGGAGTTCCTAAGGAGGAAGTCCCCCTGACTACGCTTTTGCTTTACAATATAATAAATTCTTTAGAGAATTTTTTATAATAAAATTAATTGTAAAATAACCTGTATATACAAAAAAGTGTGTTTTTGATTTTCAAGTTGAACCCAAACTGGCTCCTAAAAATAAATTAGAGTCCACAAAAAAATTTTTAATTAAAAAAAAACCTGAGAAATTACAAGTGCTGGAAATTTAATTAGTTCATCTTCTTCATTCTCTTCTTTTAAATTATTAATTTCTTTAATTAATTCAATTCCCAATTCAAAAGCCAATTTAAGTTTTCTTTCAACAATTAATATTTGCAAATATAAAATTTTCATAAATAAATTTTGAAGGGGCAATTCTTTTGTTAAATCGAACAACTTTGAAAAAACAAAATATTTTTTTAAGGTTCTTGTCCAATTTATGAGTTCCATAATGTTGTAGATTTTTAAATTTTGTGAGATTGGGCCCCTCAAAGTTTTTTTTGGTTTTTGGACTATCCATAAATTAAAAATTAGAAAACTGAAGTTGTTGGTCTGAATTTCAATTTATAAATTCTAAACTAAAAAAACCAAAATTCCAAACCATAAAGTCCAAAACCCAACTGTTTGACCATAAATTCAGAACCCCAAAAAGATGTTTAAAAAATCCAAACCCCAACTTTAAATCCCAAAGAAAAATCAAAAAAATTTTATTTTATGGGACTCATAAATCGAAAAAAAACCAAAAAATAAAATTAATTTTAAAAGAAACCTTCAAATAAAATTCTTTTGCCAATTTCCAATTTTCTGAAGCCATTAAAGCCAAAATAGAAATTGAATAAATATTTGGAATTAATAATTTTAAAGAATTTAGTTCTTGATTAATTATATTAAAAGAATTATTAATTGAGGAATTAAAAAGTAAATTTAGTAATTTAATTGGCGATTTGAGGTTTTGATTTATCTAAAAATTAAAAATTGTCAGTTTAGGCATAATGGGTCAACTGACATGGGTGACAGTCAGATTTGACCGACTATTTTCTAGGAGACTCAAAAAAAATAAAAAAATTTCCACCCCAGATAGGTCTGGGTAGTGGCCCATCAAAAGATCCGAGTACAATTTCAGCTCGAAAAATTAAAAAAATAAATACAAATACTCAAAAATGCCTCAGTTTATGCGGAATGGATCAATGACATGAGCGTCAGCCAAATTAAACTTTTTTAGCCCAGAACCAGTCAGTCCCCCCTCCTCAAAATAAAAAACAATTTTTCAGCCATCCACAGGTCCGGGTATCAGCCCCACAAAAGATTCAAGTATAATTTTAAAAAAATCTAAAAAACCTTCAATCCTTCCTTTTCTTGTTTTATTTCTTCAATTTCAGCAGGAGAATCGTCTTCTTCAACATCCAAGTTGTAAAGCCAAAAATGTTCAAAACCACTAGAATCTACCCAAAAAATATTTGCTGGGACATAAACAAAGTGATTGGAAAAATCTAAAAAAATTTTTTGGAACTTAAGAAGGGCTGGTATTTTTGTGAAGTTTTTGGGAATAATTTTTGCAGTCTTTTCTTTTCCTTTTTTGTTGTTTTGTTTTGAAAATCAATCAGAAATCAAATTCAACATTTGACGACCAAAAGACACTCGACCACAAAAATTCGTCAGCAAAACCTGCCGACCAAAATTCTGTTCGCATAAAAAATGTCCGCAAAAATATCCTCAAAAATACTAGCTCTCCATTAAAAATTAACAAAAAACCTTTCTGAACATCTTTTAAAGGAGAAGCAATAATCCAATAAATTACAAATTTAACAAATTCGGAGATCTCTAGCAATTGTTTAGCATCCTCATTAATTAATATTTTTTCTAAATTTTCTCCAATTTTTTCGTTGCTAAAAGGAATTTGTTCTAACATTTTGGCTAAATTTGAATGACCACGTTGTTGTAATATATGAGACAATATTGGTAAACAAAAATGCCAACATTTTGACGGGCGGTCAAATTTTGATAAAATTGAGATACCTGGACGGCTTGAAAATTATTTTAGTCAAACCTCATTAGAAGATACCCCCGATATGAAACTTCTATTTAAGAGACGCTCATTAAAATGTGATAGGCCACTGGGTGGGGGAGTTTCCTAAACGAATTTTCTAGCTTATGTTAGGCTAGAATATGGGTTATCTTATAATAATGAGGTGTAGCTTAAATAAAAAACACTCTACTTAAGGTGCACCCCATTATAAGAGACCCTCATTATAAGATTTAATTTTCACAGCAACAAGAGGCTAGTCACTAATATGGTCCTATACCTTCTAGTGTTTTCTCGGGCCCAAGGGGGTATCTTAAAGTGAGATTTGACTGAAGTTAATAAAATTTAACAAAATAAAAACCTATAGAAATCATCAGGAATTCTTCCGACAGTATCAGCAAAACAATTTTTCAAAATAATTTGATATATTTGAGTAATATTGTGAAGAGATAAATCACCAAATTTTGACTGAATTAAACTATCAAAGAGGCGAACTTAAAAAATAAAGAGTTTATAAAAAAAATCCGGAAATTTTTAAAATTAAAAAATTACATAAAACAGCATCCATAGCAGTTATTCCCTCTTCTCTTCCTTCTTTTGTAATTTTATCTAATTGGAATTCCCCGCTAGCACCCAAATAATAAGCAAAAAGTTTTGTCTAAAATTAATTTAATTTAAAAAATTAAAATTAATAATTAACCGCAACATTATATAAACTGTTTGGTTGGTTACAGGCAAAGGTTAAATAAACTTGTAAACTTCCTTTTGTTGAATTTCGTTGTTCCGGAAAGGCAAAGAAAAACATTTCTTGTAAAATATCCATGTTTAATTCGCCTACTAGTTCTGAAAATTAAATTTTTAATGTTTTTAACAACCAGATAGTTCTAAAAAATTTTACAAGGGCCAGGATTCGTTAAATTCACTTCATTTACAAAGTTGAATGTTTAAAAAGCAAAAATAAATCGATTAACGACCAACGGGTTCGAACCCAAGACCCCCAATTTGCGCCTAAACCACTTAACCAAACAACAGCCTAATAAACCTACCTTATTTTCAAGCCTTGTATTACCCATTAAAAATACTTTTAAAACAAACCAGAAGAAAAAAGTTTATCAGAATTTCCATCCAGCAAAACAGAAAATAGTTGACCTATTCTTTGACGAACCTTTTCTGATTTGTCTAATTGATAACTGAAATTAAAATTTATTAAAAAATAAAATAAAAAACCAACATTTTCTGTGCAGTAAAGCTCAAATCTTTCGCATTTCTAAATTTCAGGGCAATATCAAATTCCAATAAATTAAATTCTAAAGGTCCAAATTCACTTTCTAAAGTTAACATTCTCGATTTTCTTGCCCAATAAGACTGTGAACAGGGAAAAGAATTTAGTTCATTGAGTACTGACAAATATTTTTGTTGATCTGTTGAAGTTGTGGATGTTGTATTAGTTGACATTTGAATTAATTTTTTTTAGAAATTTATAGGAAAAAATCTGACAGAAATTTTAAAGATTTTTAAAAATTTTTGGTAGTCAAGTATGGCCGGTTCAGTGCCAGCCAGTAAAAAAATTAAAATTTAAGGGACGGTTGAGATCGGTCAGTTAAGCGCAGGCAGACAGATTTGATAACCTTCTTATTCTTCTTAATTTAACTAATCTAAACAAAATTTTTTTTATCATTTTTGAGCCTTCAATAAGCAAAATCTTTTTTAAACCGAATAGATTAAATCTGATTAATTTAATATTTTCCTTACTTTTTCATGGAAATGAGACACTTAATCGCATAGTCAGTTAAGCGCAGGCAGAAGGAAGCTGGTCATTCTTTTGAAAGGAAGGATCCTTGAGTGATTTTGATACCAATCGATAACGCAGAAAAGCTACAAAACAGGAGAAAAATTTCTTGCCCAATAAGACTGTGAACAGGGATTTTTAACAAGGACCATAAACAGTTATCAGTCTGCGACTAATTGACCTCGCGACCAAATGTCCGCTCAAATTAATATATACAAAATGCCAAAGATAAAATAAATGTTAATTTTCAATTTTTTCTTATTAAAATATAATTTTTTCCCAATCATTATCTCTTTACATTTTACGCTTTTGTAAAGTTTTTTTTTACTTCTAAACATTTTCCCTTTATTTTATTACCAATTTTGTACAGCTGCTAATGTCTCGCTTTTACATTTCACAATTTTTCTTTTTTCTCTTTATTAACGCTCTCAATATCTATAAAATATATTAACGGTTCTTCTATATTAAAATAAAAGAGGAGGAAAAAGGCTGTAAATGATTGACTATATAAAAAAATTTAATAAAAAAAAGGTGTTGATAACGGCCTACCAACTAAACAGTCTACCACAACCTTAGTTCCCTCTCCCATTTTGCCAATACCACATTTTGCCAATAAGGCTAAAATCACTCATTTTGTCAACAAACTTGTGACAAAATGTGGATTTTTAGCCTTCTTGGCAAAATGTCGTTTTTTCCACTTATTGGCAAAATGTGTCTGAGCCCTTTCTTCCTTCCCTTACTCCTCTTCTCTTCATTTTTGCCAAACTTTTTCCTTCGTTTCTTTCTCTCTCCCATATTTGTCAAACAATCTGTCAATCGTTTCCCCCACTTTCAAACAAAAAAAAAGTTTTTTTTTATTTTTTAGTTTAATCTTCAATTTCCCCATTCCAACTCTTTAAATTGTCTCATTAAAATATTCCCATGTTAAGAATTCTTTTTTTAAATCTCTTGACAGTTTAAAAGTGATCTAAAAATGATTAGAATAGTGGGAAAGTTGATCAAACTAAAAAATATTTATTTATTTTTATTTATCAGTTCAGAAAAAATTATTTTCCCTGTCTGGGGTTCGAACCCCTGCCCCATTTTGTTATAAATCCTAGCATTTTCCCACTACACCAAAATATCTTCTTGCGGACTTTGCCTGTTATAAGACCCAATATGGTTAGATTAGGTCCATTAAGCTTCATTCTATATAGTCAAACCTCACTATAGAATACCCCCTATATAAGATACACTTCTATTTAAGAGACCCTCTTTAAATTTGTTTGGCCAACTGGGTGGGGGAGCTTCTCAAGTGAACCCCTCTATTTAATTTACACATTATAAGGTATAATTTTTCAATCCCAAGGTGTATCTTATAACGAGATCCAACTGTACTTTTGTATACAATTCATTAATTACCCAACACCTTTTCTCTATTTTCTATTCAAATAACAATAAAAGTGCACACTAAAATTGACTAGACACACACACACCTTTCTATCGAGACTGTCTACATTTTCTGTCTAATAAATAAAATAAATACAGTTGAGCAAACCAAACAAGCCTTTCTGTTAAAAAAATTTTTTCTGTCCATTTTCAACCAATCATTCGTTTAAAGCTTCAATTTTTTCCTTCATCAGTTTTTAAGGTTTTTTGCCTGTTTTTCCACGTTTCTACCTTCACAAAGCCTTTAAATAAATTTTTATTTTTCATTGTTTCCCTTATCTTTCTCTTTATTATTATTATTTTTTAGGGTTGTCCCAATTCTCTCTCTCGACTCTTTTAGCTCAATAAAAATGCAAAGTATTAAAATTTATAAGAGACACATTTTTATCAAAAAGGAATCTCGTTTTTAATTCTCCATGATTTTTCTCTATTTTATTAAACAATTTTCATAATATTCAAAAAATTTAAAAATTTTGACTAATTCTTTTAGACCTCTTAGTTAAACACACTCGGACCTCGTTATAAGAGACCCCTTAAAATCGTTATACTGAGGTATCTATTAAATAGAGGGTATCACTAGGAAGCTACTCCCACCCAATAACCAATCAAATTTTTAAGGAGAGTCTCTTAAATAGAGGGTTCTTTGTATTGAGGGTGTCTTATAGTGAGGTCTGTCTGGGGTGTCTCTTAAATAGAGGTGTATCGCTTAGTCAGGCATCCCTGCCCATTGGCCTAGTAGTGTATGGTAATTCCAAGGCTGGTCCCCCCCCCCCCCCCCCTTTTTTTTCTGTTCGCCTGACCATTTTGAGATTTTTTGCTTTAAATATAATTTACAATATATCATTTGAAAGAGCTGTTCGAGCTGAGTAGAATGATACTATGATCGGATAGATTTGTCGATTTTGAACCAAATTATGAAGATAAATCCTTGATGGACATGCTTTTTGTGGTGTTGAAAGGGATTAAAACAAATGGTCATAACTATGTTTATTTAAGTCGGATTTCGATGAATTTAGCACCGTTCTACTCAGCTTGAAGAGCTCTTTCGAATGATATATAATTTGCATAAAAAGTTTAAAAAATCGAAAAAAATTGAAAGGAAAAAAAGGGGGGGGGACCAGCCTTGGAATTACCTAGTGTATCTAACAAAATTTTGTCTCTTATATTGAGTGTATGTTAAATAGGGGGTATTTCTTGAAAGAAAAAGGAGCGTCTATTGGGTGTACCTTATAATGAGTGTTTCATGTTTTATTTAAACTACAAAAAAGCCTTTCATTTCTCTCTCATTTTTATCTTCCCAATCAAGCAATTTATTGATAAGACCAACCAACATTTTAATATCGAGCAAGAAAAAAATTTTTTTCCACCTTTTATTACTAATAAATATATTTAACCAGTCATTTTATTTTGTATTTTACAACACACAAAACATTTAAAAGCAAGAAAAATTTTGCCTTAAATGATAAAAGGCTTTTCGTAAAACAACTATAAAAGCAACACAAAAACATTAAAAAAATTTTTTTGCTTTGTGTTCGGTGTTGACTCAACATCAAACAAAAAAATACCTTTTCCCTCAACAAATTAATTTTATTTTATTTCTTAAAACAACACAAAAATTTAATTAAAATTTTAAAAGGAAATTTTTTCATGGTTTAAGTGGAGAAATGAATATCACTGTTTAATCCACATTGTTGTGGAAAAAAGTCTAGTGAGATTCTTTTTCTCCATTTGCTCCGTGAAATATGCCTAAAATAAAATTTCAAAAAATCTGTGGTTTAAAAATAAAAAATAATCATTTAAAAAAGGTATTGGTTCGGGACAGAAAGTTTAAAGCATCTTTGTGCCAGTTTCGTATTTCGACTTGTAAATTTAATTTCAGCACACTCCTGGTACTCGCCAGGGATAGGCCCTTCTCTCATTTTTAAATAGCCCATAATCTATCAGCTCAACGAGACAGCGAGCTAAAAAACTTGTTATCTGCCCAATATCAAAATAATGCCCTCAGGCATTTAACACTAATAAAAAATTTAAAAGCTCTTTTAATTAATTTAATTAAAAATTAATGAGTTCATTTTATATAACTAAAATTCTCTCTCTGAATTTTATAATAAATCAACATCACTCATAGTTGTTGTTTTTATTATATTTTCAGTTGATTCCAATCCGAGAGAGCGGTAGGCATAACAGGTAACTTGGTGAATGAAAAGATTAAATTTTTTAAAGATTTAAAATTATTTTACCATTCCCAAGAGATGATTGACAAAATGTATCGGTATATGCTACATAAGAAAATTCTCCTTTTGCACAAATAACCTTTGAAAAATAATTTTTAAATTTGTTAATTCATTATAAGATACACTATTGGGTCTGAAAAAATCGTACCTTATAATGAGTGTCTGTTACATAGAGGATATCGCTTGGAAAGCTCCCCCACCCAGTGGCCAACCAGATTTTAAAGAGCGTCTCTTAACAGGAGTGTATCTTATAATAGTGGTATCTTATAATGAGTGTATGTTAAATAGAGGATATTGTTTGGGAGAAAAGAATGCTTATGGGGTATCTTATAACGAGGTTTTTAATTTAAAAATTATTTTTTATTTTACATTTATTTTTGCAAAAAGTTTTTCTTCTGCTACTTTTTGTATTGCCCCTTAAAAATTAAAAAATAAATTTAAAAAAAATTTTAAATTTACTCTTTGAACTATTCGGATCATCACCAATTATATTTTCTTGTATAGCTGTTCTAAGCTTTCTGCTGTTGCAGGTTGGGTCGTCTTCTGTTTGGTCTTCTGTTGGAGCAGCAAATATTTGAGAACCTTTGAATATAAATATGTAGTCAAAACCTCACTTGTGAGTACCCCCTCTCGTACCTTATAATGAGAGGTTTATTAAATTGAGGTATAATACTGAGAGTTCCTCACCGTGTGTTCTAGCCCTCCCCATATATCGGCATGGAGTACTGCATTGACAGCAACAATCATTGCTTGGATAGCCTGAGGGGAAATTCAAATAATTTTTTAAACTTAATCAAACCTCCCAAAGGATAGCCAATTTGTGGACCTCCAAAACCTCCTCCAAACCCACCCATTTGAGGACATGTACAGGGTGTTGGCAAGGGGCAGGGTGGAGGCGGTGGAAGAGGTGGAGGGCATGGCAGTGGTGGAAGGGGAGGTGGACAGATGACTGGAGGAGGGCAAAATGTTGGTGGACAGGGAATTGGTGGAGGGCAGGGCTGAAAATTTAAAAA